AACTACACTCAATAAACTTACATTAAATTCAAAACTTATATTCAACACATCTTTTTCAACGTCAACATATCGCATATCCTGTTGCACAAAGCACCAAAAAGAAAAAAAATAGAAAAACAACACACACGCTGGGATCCTTTTAACGAACTTCTCAACTACTCAAGCGTTCGGTTGACAAGCGTGGAAACGAAAATCTCATGTTCCGGACAAGATATTTCCAAACGATTTAACAACTGAATTGAATTTGTTACGCCTCCCCACGCCACGTCTTCCTATGAACTCATCACAATATTACAGACATAAACGAATGGCAAGGATAATAGAGAAATCGGAAGCGGCAGCGACAGTCTCATATGAGCATAAATACATACTCGTATATAACATGCGGGGGCCCAGATCGTGGTCATGTGTGTCAGTCTACGTAAAAACATTGGCTAAATGGTTGGACGCAGCGTTGGCGTCGTTATCACTAACTTTTACGCTCATACTTATGTATAATTGAGTGAGTGTGTGTGTGTGTTTGTGCAGGTCGTACTATCATTTCTAGGTTTCATGTAACAATGCCATCATATCAATTTCAATAAACTTCATATGAATGTGTTGAAAAACACTTTGGCGATACTACTTACAATATTTTGAGTTTTTATTGGTTGTTATTGTCGTTGTTGTTTTGGTATTTTGTTAAGACCCTTGCAGTGAAAAGTTGAATCAAGATTCCTGATTAAAATAAGTAAAGTTTGACATTTTTTAAAGCACAAAATATTGTTGCTAAATACAATCTTGTATAATTTTCGAAATGTTTTTGAAACTGTAAGTATTTTTATATAAAAAGAATCTTATGTATCACAGACTTAAAGTTTAAAAAAAAATATTCTCAAATTTGGTTAAAAATCACACATCTAGAGTAATTATTATAAGAGTTCGAGTTTTTCAAACCAAACATGACCTGTCATTTGCCATTTTGTCATTATTTATAACTATTATCGGATAATCAGATCTAATACCATGCGTCCGGGACAAAAAATAAATTGAAACAAGAAATTTGCAAAATCTATTCATGTCGCAATACTTGAGTAATTATTATAAAAGCTTGAAATTTTTGTAACAGAAATGGCCTGTCATTTGTCATGGTTCATGACTATTAACGCATTACCAGATCTAATATTATGCTTCAAGAATTTATACCAGAAATTCATAAAATGTATATTTTGTAACAGAAGTGATCAAGCGCAAAGTCGGCTCTTAGCAAGAAATAGAAATTTGATAATTAGAAACACTGAACCGATTTCGAAGCCATATAATATCTGTCTTTAAGCTGAAACGATATGCCGAAATTTTTAATTTTTGTTTTTTTTTTAATATTTTTTTATTATTTTTACCGTAATTAATAGTAATATTTTCAAAAAGCGTTATTTTTAAAACAAATACAATATTTGGATTTAAGAGGCTAACCTTGAAAAATGCAAAAATTACTTTTTTACTTAAGACTCACTCTCTCGAGAAAAATTGATTTGGTCCAATATCCAGGAAAAAATGTCAATTGTGCTTACGGCAATTTTGTAAACCCATAAGACTGCTACACCAGCGTAAATTTTCAGAAATAAAGATTATAAAGGGTAGTAATCGCGCTTGTTAATTGGAGACTCGACTTTAGATCTCCTAAATATTAATTACTCGGAGTACACATCAGCAGTGACCGAAACTGTACTGACTCTCAGAGCGTTTTTCAATAGATGAGCTATCCATATAATACAGACAAGCTGTCTTCGATACGTCAAATCATGGAAAGGGTCGAATCGAACAACAGCTGGTATAAATTAAAATTAAACTGGCATAATGAAATTTAGCAAGAGAAACAAACGGTCCCGTGCCAAGGGACCAAGGGTTTAGCAAGGTATCCACAGACTCACTTTTTGTGAGCTAAACCGGATAACTTTCTTGTTGGTTTTCTTGAAATGAGAATACAGCTTATACTTAGCGCGCGGAGCTGTGGCGAATCGAAGACAACTAAAGTAAAACTATTTAGCAACTTATTCTATCTCAGATTCACCAGTTTTGACTGCAGGGTAGCTTGCTTGCCGTTTTTTCTGCTCTTACAACCAATATATATATAAATGCAGCTAATATGCTGCGCAGACAATCGTAAAAATGTGAGCATTATGAAGTTCAACGAAGGTGACTGTCAAGGTATGGCAGCACTGACGCGTCACAACAAAGGACTAGAAACTCTATTAAGCGGGAAACTCTCGTGTGACATTTGAACGCATGTGTATGTATGTATGTGTTTCATTGTAAACTGCCATATGAAGACCAAAACTGTTTAAGCAGCAAAAAACAAAGAGAGTTGTGCGCTCAGATGACAAAAAAAAAAAGTGACACACACACATATGGTACAATCATGTACACACACATATGATATGACAAGCTCTGTGGAATAGCAGACATTTCAGAGTGACATGCAATCTAAGCTACTTGTGCAAATAAAAACGAAATTTTTATTTTGTACTTTATACATTTGGCTTTAAGCTTCGCTTGGCTTCTTCTTCTTACTCGACTTTTACACATTTGTTCGCCGGCGACAAGCAGAATACACTTGTGATGTCAGTAGTTTAGCGCAAATTTGCTATTCTGTACAAGAGTGCGTGCGTGTGTGTATGTGTGTGTGCGTGCTTGTAAAGGTATCCTGCTATCACATTTATTTCCGGTAATATTTGGATTGTTTTGATTTTTGTTTGTTTGGGGTTTCTTTTGCGAATCTCTCTGTGGATGTGTGCTTGTGTGTGTATATTGTTTGGGGATACCTTGAAGGGGTCCGTTGCGCATACAGTGCAACTTTACTATTTTTTAATATAACGGAATTTGTGCAGCAATGCTTTGCTATTCGTGTTTTTGTGTACCAAAAAGAGAAAAATCAAAAGTTTTTGTTGTTTTTGTTATTGTTTTACAAGCTATCCATTGTTTACTGGAGACTCTGTGAACTTTGCTACGCTGCCTGGTAAAGCAATTGTCCGGCAACATTTGTTATTTTCTCGCATCTATGGCATCCCATTTTATTCTGTTTGCCCTTGTTTATTTTCATTTGTAGGGATTTGTTACAAAGTCTTGTTAAGTTTGTTTGTTTTTTTCTTTTGCTCAGTTTATTTGATTTGCTGTGATAATGCTGAAAGCTTTATATGGACCACGAAATAGGGGTTTGCATTATTTGTAGGGCTTACAGGTAATACTCTCACGTGTGCAAAAGCAATGAAAAATTATTTCAGATATTTGTTTAAGTTTACATGTGTGTAACTACAGACACACATTTTTATATGAATTGGAAATGTAAAAATAAAGGGTAAATTTAAGTTTTACAAACTTTAAAAACTGCAAGAATTTTGATTTTAGATCTTTAAGCTAATGCTTATCGTGTCTATTGTGCAACCGATAAATAATTATTTCGGTTGCGAATTGATCGAACGGAACTAGTCTCGAAATAATAAAAAAATGTTTCCCTTAGCGCTTTCTCTAACATATAAAATCTTCCGCAAGCAAAAAGCTGTTCATAAAAACTATTGTAATTGAGTAAGTAAGGCTCTGAATGCGTAATTTTCCATATCTTGACACTCACCTACGGTTAACAACGATTTTAGTTTTGATAACATTTAGAGAGCGCCACTCACTTTTAAAGTAAATTTCGAGTTAAAATTTTTTTTGGACAAAAAAAATTTTTTTTTGTTTTAAACTCTTCACATTTATATAAAAATTAGAGAATTAGACGGCTTTTGACTCAAAAAACATTTTGACACTTAAGAAAAGCATGTTGTCGTTTAAGACTTTGTTTTAAAACTCCAATAATGACCACGAAAATTTTTTTTATGTTTTAGATACTTTTAATTGGCCAGAAAGAGGACTCTCCACAGTTTCTAGAACACTTATCAACATTTTTTTTACGAAATAAAAATTTTAACTCGAAATTTACTTTAAAATTGAGTGGGCCGCCCCTAGACGGTAAAAAAAAATTTTTTCCACAAATTTTCCAAAAAACTTCATTTTTTATAATCTACAAATTTTTTCTCAGTCTAAGCAAAAATAAAAATTTTTTTTTTCACTCCACCCTAATATATATGATAGCTTTGTTGGAAGTTCTGTAGAAATATAGCTTCAGGTCGAATACACCTAATTGATAGATATGCACGATCACTAGAGATCAAGAAGATCTGATTTTTATTCAGAATCTATTAGTGTGGCTAGGATTAACAAAACTGTTTATTTTAAGGTTATATGCAGGTATAAGTCCTGAATTTTAGTAACACATTTGTTTAATCATTATTCAGGAATGAAGTATACCTTTTACCAAGAGTGAATTGTAGGAGATCCGTGACGCTATTCTCAATTAAATTATGATACTTCTCTAAGTGCAGTTTCAGCCAAGAGCACTTAATTTTTTGGTTTCGAGACAAAGGTTGAAGTAAGTCACCTTACTATTTCATCTGTTGATGCGTTGTCCTAAATCAGGCATCAGTCTCAACTATAGCAAGTTCATTGATAATTTATTCAATCTTCTCTTTATATATTCTTGGAAACTTAAGCGTGGCCAATAACTCAATAACCTTATGCGCTTTAAATATTATTAATTTTTCGATTACTCGACAACGCTTTCACAACCACGGAAAATATTTGCATTTTCAATCTTTGCTTCGAATATGATTATCAAAAATATGATTTACATGCGCGCCAACTCACATAAGAAATTTGGATTGCAATACGAAAGAATGTCGCAAAACTATATGTATATATATGCAAGTGTTGAGAAACTGTTATGGTAAACATTTCTGAATGCACACCAACATATTGCATTAGGTGTGTTCTTATTTGAATATGAGTGTTCAGTCAGACTGAATCTCAGTGTAGCTCAGTGATCCGCATGTGGTTTATATAGATAAGATAATATAACATCTCCCAAAAAATCTAAAATATATTTGGAATTGTATATAAAATTATTTTTAATTTGGATGTTTCAGCTCAACAAGTCTTTGACATTAGACCAACCCTATTAATTGCATATCGTTTCGTTTGAATTGATTTCATCGCGCATCCATAACGCCGCAGCAGCTGCAAATGCGAAATGCGAATGAAAAATGTGCCGAGGCGTTAAAGCCAGGAAGCGGGCATATAGCGAAAATCTGTGTCAGAGCCAATAAGTGGAAAACAGCGAGGCGGAAACAACATTTTCGCAACGTATGGACTCATATTTCTACATAGCTGGAGTGTGTGTGTTATAAGATTGCAGGCATATGACAGAGTCGTTGCGGTGCAATGCCAAACAATGTTATTGTGTTAAGCGGGTGTTGCCAGGCGATAGCCTGACTTGATGGCATAAGCAAATGAAGCATTAAATGCATGAATTTGTTCGCAAATTTAATACATGTAAGGAGAAAAATGAAGAAGAAGAAAATAGAAGGAGCAGGTGTGAGAAGGATTTGAATATTCAATTTTTTTATTGTCGGTTTTCAAGTTTTCACTTCAGATCACCAATATCAAGAAATTGTGTTGTGAGCTTTGTTGTATTTAAGGAATTAAAGTACATAATATAATGCGTATACTTGATTTAACACGAGCCACAAAAATGTTCCCTAATAAATTTTTCAAAGAAATGAAGAAGAACTCGCATGTCTAGAAGGTAAGAATCCTATGCTTTCTTATACCGATTTTGCATACTAATGATAGAAAAGTTAGTTACCTTTGACTCCATTCAAAAGTTTAAGATTCAGTTCTGTGGTATCCTTCATCAGTATTCGTGAATAAATCTGTAGTGCTTTGGAAAAAGCCTGATTTATCGTTACTTTATGGCTTCGCTTTCGAAATTACATCGAAAGAGAGTCTTTTTGCGAAGTATAATATCTTGTAAATCATAAAAAAGCTCTAACCGCAATAGCTTTTATCTAATAAGCTTTGATCTATTAAAAATTTCCGGCTATTGGTTTTTACTTTTAAAAAGTTGATGCGTTCTTAGGAGAGAGTCTACAAAATCTAACCTTAAGGTAGATATATTATCGGCTTAGAGTATAAAATTTATATAATTTTGATCCGAGTTTCGAATATATGGCTCATAAAATGCTTACCACACCCAACTTACTCACTCATAGTGCAGTTCGTGCTGAAAGCCTCGCCTCAACTGTACATTGCATAAGCTCTTATTCATATGTGAAATGCAGTTCACTCTGGCAAAGTGTCATTTGTGGGAGTTGATGTCAAAATGCGTTTGTCTCTTGCTAACGAATTGATACGAAATAAAAAGTAAATTTTCGTTGCTCCTTTTTCAACTACCTATTTGAGTATATTTTTTATGCCATACAACTTTCGCATATTTTATTTGACTTTGCAAACACTCTCTGCTTCAGCTGTTGGTATGATCTTCCTCGCATCGCCACTTTGGCAACCTACCGTGTTTATATATGGCATCGCGGTTTAGTGAAGTGTAAACCATTGAACTGTCATATATGCTGCATGTTAAGTGTCAGCGAAGTTGAATTGAAGTTTAAGCTACCGGAAAAGTGGTGCCACATATGGACAGAAACACACGCACTGCCACAACACATATGTTATGTATGTACATGCGCAGCAGCATACCAATCTCGTTTGTATTCGTTTGTGTGCATTCGCACTTGTTGGTGTAATGGACTGGTGAATATGCACTATATGAAAATGTCATGACATTTTCCACCTTTTATACGCTTTTTAAGTGAAGTGCAAAAGGCAAATCGATTGAGGCGCAAAAAAGCGATATTTTTTCCATTTACTTGTTTTTTCTTCGGCACTTTTTTAGATTCTTTGTATATGAAAGTGCCTCAACTACGTAACGGTTATGCAAAAATATTTATGCATATGCTGAGAGTTGAAAAAATGCATAAATGTATTCATATTTATGTGTGTATATGTGTATGGAAACATATATGGTATGTCTGCATATTTATTTCAATTTTCGCTCTCTCATGTGCATCTGCATTTTTGAGTGTGGCAGCTATTATTTTCCACATAATTGTGGGAGTTGACATACTTTCAAGTTTGTTTTTGTTGTTGTTTTATTTTCACTTCCGATCTGTACAATTTTGTGTTTGTTATACATCACTTGGTCACTTGATTATGACAGACACAAAAACTGTGCAAATCCACAAGGATTAAAGTGAAAATTCCTGCGTACAAATACATACAGACATATTCATGTATTTATTAAAACAATTGCTGAAAATTCAATTAATGCATTATCAAAGTTATTATTTATACATTTTTTCCTACTTTTTTAACACTTTTCTATCCCCATATCTGATAAATCCGAAAAGAGAATGAAAGCTTTCACCTCTCATTACCAAATCCTAAAATAACTTATAATCTCTAGATATGTATAATTTGTTAGCGTATTTTGTAGTTGCTTGTGTAGTTGCGCTACTTTTTTTAGTTAAACTAATCCATTTCCGATATTAATCTATAGCTAAAGCTTAAGCTAGATGGCGCTATGGTAAAATTTCTGCAATTTCTTATGATTACTCAATGGAAAACTGTATTCCTATTACTCTTTCAATATAAAAGTACGTAGAGCCCTATTTTCTAGTTAAATAAAAGTAAAATATCTAAATAAAATTATAAATTACAAGACAGATATTTGTCACAGGAACTTTTTCCATTTTTCATTCTTTCGGAAGTTATTTTAATCCAGTTTAGGCTAGAAGATATTCTATGAACAACTGAGTATATCACAGAATCGCTATTACTCTTTGTGAGTACTGATAATTCCAGGATTAACTACATCCTTTATTCTAGTTAAATAACTCATTATTTCATTCAAATTAAAATGCCTTAAAGCTCATAAGTATATAAATGTCGAAAATTATCAATTTGGTGCTATTTTAAAACAGAGCTTTTTATGATCATCGAGGTACTGCGCAACAATGGTCTAAATGATAAAGCTTTTTTAGCCATTGACCTTGAAATTATCTCCAGAACTATAAGATTTAAATGATTTTTAGCAAATATTAAAAATGTAAACTAAGTTTTTACCAGAAAACCATTGTTATCTATTTGCCAATTCGTTCATATTAGCCGAATCGAAAATATTCAGATATATTTGTCTGTAGGTCTCTGTATATTTTTTTATAATATATATTTATGTATATTTATTTATAATAGAACTATATTTCCGTTTGAATGTGAAAATGAAGTTATCACTTCGTCGTACAGAATATACCTATATATATAACTTTCGGAGATCTTCTCAGATTTATCATAGGCTCTCGACGATATTTATATAAAAATATGTATTGTATAATACCTAGTAGTATAAGTTCACATAGCCTTCAGCTTAGTCGGCCTGTCTTATTTCTTTCTTTTTCCCACGAATTGAGTGTTTTCGTGTTGTTCACATTTTAATAGCTTCATTTGCCGGCGGATATAATTAATGACCTGCATTAAGCTAAACTAATCACATAACATTTTTCCATCTGTCAAAAATATACACATACTCTCAGATAATGATTAAGTACTGCTGTATTATTTAGATTACGTATTACGAAATCATATGCTTGTGGTTTTGTTATCATTGACTGTCTTCAGCGATTTATACCTGTCAATATAATAAAGATCGATTGTAATCTAACAAGTTCTGTTGAGTACCCCTTGAAGGTCGAAGCAATTTTTTTTATAAATAAATATATTAAAATCCGTTGTTTACGGTCTAGTCACAGGAAAAATTAAGGAAATCAAATAATAATATCAATTTGTTAGGTTCAATCTAAAAATTGTGTTATAAATACAATTTGCATTGGTCTTCAAATAGTACCTAATAAAGCTCTTTCATAGGCTTGGAAAAAACTAAATTTGGAAATTTAATCACACAAATATGATGTTGAAAAAATTTATAATATATCAGCTTAAAGCTCATATACTTGTATGAAGAGTGAAAGCTGCTTTAGTGAAAGCGTCATTTTGGGCAACTTTTAATGAAACTTCAGTGATACTTTGGTTCGAGCTTAGTATCGTTATTCATAAAGCTACTACTTAACACGTGAAATCCAAAAAGTTATAAAAAATTTGCTAGGAATTCATTGACATCTTCTTTCTTATTTGATATATATGTACGTATCTTTGATGGGTAAAAGCTCTAAAACTTTCCTAAAAGAACATCAAAAGCAAGGAGTACGTACCGGCGACCTCAGATTGGTTTCGATTATTGTAGGCAGTCCGGCATCAATCTAGATTCAAAACTTTATCTATTTGATGTGTGCTTCCAGTTTATATGGTCCAGTCCGGGTCATTTTTGATCTTGAGTGTTCAAGTACAAAATCTTAGTTTTGTCATAGCGCCCATAAACTCTTTCATCACCTAAGTGGATTATTAAAGCATATGCATAATCTATTCCCATCCTTAATAAAAAATAGTGAAGTCGGTTAATAGACTCATTTCTTAAGCTATAATTTATTTTTTCTCCTCACTTCCGATCTGCAACAAATAAATAGAAATAAGTATTTACAAACTTTAGGCTTACATCCCCAAGCTAAGTGAGCGGAAGTTCGTAACTTGCTAATTTTATGTTATTGTCACGTCGAAAATTAATTTTTATGCCAACTACTTGCTATCAACCACAAGCAACATACAATTCTTCACTGAAGCAAGTCACCACAAACTAAAATTCTCGCAAATCTGCAATTACTTACGCTCAATATGAATGCAATATAAATATTGGCTATCACTTCACGGTGTGGCGATTGGCGGTGAACATAATCAATATCGATGGCAATAGGAAGCCGGGAATCAATTTGATAACAGCAACAATTGCTAACCACATTCAGTAACTCTTTCACTTAATGCGCCGAGCAACTAGACTCGGCTACCCACTACTTGCAACTCTTCGCCGCGTGAGAAAAAAAAACAGCTCGTTTGACTCGCACACACAAACAACTTCCACTATCAATTGGCTTGTTTTCAGCGACTTCCAGCTATGCACTCATGCAACATGCCACATGCAATGTGTTGCAATCCCAACTAGTTAGCGATAATGGCAGCCGGAGTCACTGTTTCATGGCCAAGCTAACAGGCGCACAGCAATTGCCGCACAACGAGCAGCTGCCGCGCAGAAACAAGATGCCGCCTGCTACTGTTGCTGTTGATGCTTGTTGCCAACTATTGCATGTTGCATGCAATGCTAGACAATGAGGTAAGTGAAACCCATCAACCGAGCCATCAGCGGAAAAAGCTAAGATAATAGGCAGCAATAAAAAAACAGGCTTCCAAATACACAGGTGGTGGCGGTGGCAACAACCAATCGTAATATGCTAAGCAACATTATGAAGTGTTGCAACTACATGTTATAGTTATAAGTTGACGATCATTATGATCATCACGATCATAATTACAGATATCATTGTTATCACAATCATGATTTTGATCATCAAGATCACCATAATGATCATTATTGCCATCATCGCCGACAACAACACTCTACAAACGCCAGCATTTACATGTAAAACACGCGCGTTCGGTTGCAAGATCACTTCGAGCGCGCCATAATTGTACTTTTCAAGTGCGTTTGCGCCAAAGTGTACTCCGCTTGTTGCCACAGTTGCCGTTCCACTACGCATGCGCTCTACATACGCGCAGCAGTAGTAAGTAGCGGCTTGTGTTTTTGTT